AAAACTTAACTTACACGTGATATATTGTAGCGTTTAACTCTTTATTATTATTATCAACGTTTTAAATGTCGTCCATAAGATATATCGATACGCTAATTGTAAATCTCGATCGATATTACGAAGCTCTCAATCTCGTCCTTGTAGGATTATCAATTTTTGGATTATGCCCTGTCTAAACAGCGAAAGCAGAGAGATTTCGTTGGCGTAAAAATCGGAAGACAAAGAAAGAGGGGGGGGTGGGGAATCCAAAAAATTGCACGGGAATGCGTTCGTATCAAATTCAAGTTTCGCTCGCGCGCTTTACCGTCTGTTGCGATCGACGTTATTGAACGCAAAATACCATTCTTCATTTCTCGATTTCGAGAACTAATGTATCGATATTGTGTAACCCAGACGTTTTGAAAGACACTTTTGCGCGTGCCGTTCGATTGAGAATAACATATTCGATATCTCACGGCCATATGTAACATTAGACATATTTTTCTACTCGCGATTCCTACTTAAATGTACAGATTTTCATGTGAAAAAAAAAAAATCCGTCAACGAAAAATGTCGAAGCTGTACTCGCAATGATGAGAATTACAACCCTTCTTGCGATTCGAAGGCATTTCCTTCTCTCTCTTTTTTTTCCCCCTTTCATCTTCCTAATCAATGCTACTCTACCGTTCGCTTTCGCTCAAGCGTTTTATTGCTTATCGTATCGCGATAACTGTATCGTCTATCTTGAGTTTCTCTGCGTGCGTATGTAAATCCTGTAAACGATGTGTGATATAGTACGTCGGCTCAATGCGTGACTAGTATGTTCAGGACGACATTTAGGATACGAACGACGCAATACGATTCGCCTGCGTTTCGCATGAAAGCTATTTCATCCTTCGAATATGCACTTTACAAACTCTTGTCTACACCGTGATCGATTTGCTTAAGGAATAAAGAACAACCGTCGATACAATTTACAAATTCGTTTGATTGATTGATAAATCGGCCGGTGCGTATTACCGATTCTCTATTTACAAGTTTACTCATCGGTCCACACATTATGCGAAATAAATACGATAATCAATCTTCGTAATCGATCTTCATAACGCTTTCATTTCATCGAAACGTATAATATTTATAATAATTGCATATAGACGGCGTGTGTATACATGCGTATGCAAATCTCGATTAATACGAGTGATATATTTAACCCTAGGTATACACATTTATTTTTCATATACGCGATAACCGCATAGAGGGATCCCAGCAGCCTTTTCATCACAGTTTGAAAAAATTACCATATTGTGATTAATTTTGTTTAATGGATCGTAAAGGAACTAAAAAATATATCTATTCACTTAGAAGTATAGTCTAAAATTATAATAAAAATGAAAAAAAAAACATGATCCCTCTAGTAGATCGGA